AGGGGCCGCAGGTGGTTGGCTGGCTGCCCCCACCCCCTGGTCAAACTCCCAGTTGAATTCTGGGTCGAGGGGACAATTTGCATATTAGCCTTTTATTATATTGGATGGGGATTCTAATATGGACTGATATGAGAATGAAATGAGTGAATGTATATGAAAGTATTTTTTAATTGAAAGACATTTTTCAAACTATGAAGTTCTACAAATTAATTTACTATTTAACAAGTATGTATTGATTCCCCCCAGTGTGTAATCTCCTTCTAGGTGTTGGAATATAGCAGTGAAAGGCCTCTGTCCTCATGGAGTTTACACTTCAGAGGAAAGAGACAGTATAAAAGTAAATAGATAAATAAATGCAATTTCAGGTAGTAATAGTGCTGTAAAGTGAAAACCTAGGATGCTGTAATAAAATGTGCTATAAGAAAATAAAACAGTGATATATTAGAGAACTAGGGGTGTTAGGTGGGATGAGACAGTGTAGACATTGTGGTCAGGGAAAGTGTCTCTGGAGCTCATTGCTGAGTTGAGATCTTTAAGTTAGAAGGAGTCAGCCATGTAAGGACTGGGGACAGCCAATACAAAGGTCCCGTGAAGGGGAGGGGTTAGTGTGTGAGAGAAAACCAGAGCACGGCGTCCTCTGATGTAGTGAGAGTGGTGTGCGGTCGGGCAGAACTTGGCAGAGGCAGCGTGATGTCGCCGTATAGGCCATGCCCAGGAGGTTAGGGTATCAGTGCAGTGGGAAGCCGTTCGAGGGTTTTACGCAGTGGAATTACATGATGAGATCTTTATTTTGAAATGATTATTCTGGTTGCTGTGAGGAAATGGATCAAGGTGGTTGGTAAGAGAAACAGATTGACTATATGGAGGCTATTGTGCTGGTCCTGGCAAGAGAGAATGGTGGTCCAAAGAGAGTGGTAGTGGCAGGAGTATAATAACTATTATTATTGTTATGGGCTGAGTTTTGACCCCTGAAAGTCATGTCTCTAATGCCCAGTACCTCAGAATATAACCTTATTTGGAGATAAGGTCTTTAAAGATGTGCTTAAGTCAAAATGAGCTCTAATCTAATCTGACTGCTGTCCTTATAAAAAGAGGAAATTTGGCCCAGCCGGCGTGGCTCAGTGGTTGAGAGTTGGCCTATGAACCAGGAGTTCATGGTTCAATTCCGGGAATTTGGCAGAGGCACGAGGGATGCATGTGCAGGGAGGAAAGACCAAGTGAGGACACTATGAGAAGATGGCTGTCTGCAAGCCAAGGAGAGAGGTCTCAGAAAAGCCAACCCGCCAACACCATGATCCTGGAGGTCAGCCTCCAGACTGGGAGGAATACATTCTGTTGTTTAAGCTGCCCAGTGTGGTGTTTTATTATGGCAGCCCTAGCAAACTAATAGTTACGATCATGATGATGGTGGTGGTGCTTTCTCATTAAGTTAGCTCATATGTGTACTTACTTGAGTGTATGTGCTTTCTCCCACTGGATTGTGCATTCCATGGTTAGCGCAGGGACCGTGTCTAATGCTCGACAGTAACCTCAGTGCCTAAGGCAGTGCCTGAGCCATAGGAAGTCAGGGTTCTTCATATGGGGGCTACAAACTCTAGCACATAGGACAGGGTAAGAAATAATCATGTAACAAGTTAGAACCAGAGGGTTTTCTGAAAGCACATTTCAGTAGCATAAAAATGACTGTCACTTCATTAGAGGGATATTTGGAAAAAGAGGCTTTTTTTTTTTAGCAGTTCTGCAAATAAGGAGCTTTAGCCATTATTTCAACTTCATTCCATGGCTTTGTCAAAATAGGATTAATTTGTGAAAAATGCCTTCCTTGAGGGCAAGGCTTTCTCTGTGTTGTCTGCTCTACTATAAAGTGGTTCTAGGCACATAGTGGTGTGCAATAAATATTTATTAAGTGAATAAGAATAATTTCACCTCTTTTGTTCCTTCTTAGGAATTTTTGAATTGCTTTTAATAGTCTCTTATACTTAGCCCAGTGTCAGTTATTCCATAGAGGGTAAAATATTTTGCCTGTTCTTTTCTCCCTTAGCATTGCATCAGTTATCTTGAATCAGGTCTTCACTTTCTGATGTTTTGACCTTAGATTGCCCTTAAACTGAAGTCTCACAACCTAGCTCAATGGCACTGGCTCCACCTTGTGTCAGAAACGTGATATCACACCCACTGAAGGCTGGCTTACCAAGAATCAACCTGCCCCTCCCACCCCCCTCAAACATTTTAAATGGCCCAAATGCTCTACATAAATCAAATGGTGATGTCACTCTTGGGCAACCTTATTGTGACTCATTTGTTGTGAAATGACTTTGTCTCCATGTTTAGTACTATAGTGTATACTCCAAGTACAGAAACAAGTTCTTAATATGTAACCATAAAGGCTTTTGGAGTTAGTTTGTAGTTCATACCTAGAATTAATGGCCTGGTCTTTTTCTGGCCTCTGTTTTTTCTTGCCCTGCTCCTTTTTCCTGACCTTTGGGAGCCTTACTACGCCTAAGTTGGCTGTATGGTTCTCCCAGAATGGCAGTTTCCCAGCTCCTTCCAGAGGCCATCTGGAGTTCTCCAGGGCCCACTGACCCCTCTGCTGCATTCCCAGGTCGTGACACAAAATTCCAGAGTGAAAGGAGCTCACAGGGTCACTGTATTCTGTCCTCTGGGCATGTTTCAGGACAGAGAGCAGGAGAGCTCTGAGTCATCTGTGTTCCTGCTTTAATTTCCCTTTCCTGTCCTCCCAGGGACTCTGTGCAGGACCTAGGGAGGCCTCCTGAAGAAATGCACCTCATTCCATTGCCTTTTGAGGAAGGAACACATTTGAGAAGAATGGCCTGTTAGTATTTAAACATCGCCGCCCTTCCTCTACCTCTGCCCTAGGTTTATGTTCTTAGTCACCCTCTACCTGGCCTTTCCTGGGCAGTACTGTCAGCCGGCCTTCTTGGGCCAAAGGTCACTCTGATCACTTTGCTGGGAACTGCTCACCGTTTGAGAGCCTGAGCCCAGTGCTCAGTACACGTCAGCCATGCTGCCCGGCTCTCACCCTGTGGCAGCTCACAGCGCTGCCTTCCTCGTTCCGCCATCTCTCCACATACTTCTTAAGAGAAAATTTGCTGCAAGGAACAGTAGACCCATAGCAGCCTCATCCCAGCTCAGACTGCACGATATTTTAGATCTACTCAGTGTTGTCACGTTTTCAATTTCAGTTCTACAGTGCTGTGTAAACAGGTTGTAACTCGTGTATTTCACTGTGAAATTGAAGGTTAAGACATCCTTGATAATCAACATTTCAAGCCAAAGTGATAAAAATAGCATAACACAAAAAAAAGCCAGTTGTTTTATAAGTAGTTTATAAAAGGCAGGATTTCTGTTATTATTCCTTATTACTTTGGTTTGATTGCTGAGACTGAAATGTGCTTATGTGTATTTTTAAAATAAACACTTTTTCATAAAAAAATTTCAAACTGCTAAACAAATAGAAGGAATGGTGCACCGAACTGCTGTGCACTTTCACCTAGATTCCCCAGTTCTCAACATTTTGCCAAATGAGCTCTTGCTTGCATGGACTCACTCTCTGTCTCTCTCCATATACAGGGTGTCCTAAAAAATGTTTACACACATGTTGAATATTTATAAAGGCAGGGTTTTTAAAAATACATTTTATTTTCAAAATTGAGCTATCAGCTGTTAAAGTGTGTGCACATTTTTTGGGACACACTGTATGTACACATTTATGCATTTTATTATTTAATGATTATTTTAATTTTGCTGGACTATTTAAGTAAGAGAGAGAGGAAGGGAGACGGATAGAGAGATAGAAACATCATCGATTACCTCCAGCACGCCCCCTACCGGGGATTGAGCCTGCAACCTGGGCATGTGCCCTGACCGGAAATCGAACCAATGACCTCTCGGTTCATAGGTTGATGCTTCAACCACTGAACCATATCAGCTGGGCCAGTGTATATTTTCTGAGAACAGGAGCATTCTCTTACATAAGCTACAGATTTTGTGTGTATTTTTAAAGATAATCTTAGAATCAGAGCGTTGGGGAGGACTTTAAGAGTCATTGCTCATTCCTCTGCTTCTTGCAGATAAATTCTTTGACAGAACAAAATTGATATTTTCCCAGGGTGATAAACAGGGACCAGGTCTGTAACATAAGTGTGTGAATGAGAAGGTATACGACAGTTCTCATGACATGTATGTATGCACTATATAAACACACCAACACTATGCAAATAAAACCTTCTCTGGGGGCCAGGTCTGTCCCTGGACCATCACTTTGTGACCCTGGATCTCTCTTCCAGGCTCCCATCGGGTGGAATTTCCAGATCTCTCTTTAGAAGCACCTGTTACAGTCAAGAAGTTCTCCTTTAAGTCTAATTAAATTCTCAGCTGAGATTTATGCAAGTCAGCAGTGTGCGATGGTTAAAAATACGGATTCCACGTTCCTGTGTTTGAATCCTTTCCTCTTTTTACAAACATCTTGGGGTAATTACTTAACTTTTCCTCATCTGTAAAATAATAGTACCTACCACACAGAGCTAATGTGAGGATTAAGTGGGTATGAATAAAGCACTTTAAAACGGAGCCTGGAAGACTTATAAAAACTTGCTATCACTGTATTCTATTAATACTAACCCGACAGCCTGGAGGCATTTTTTCTCACCTCCAGACAGATCATGATCATGGTATAAGGGATATGAGTGAGATGTGAAGACTGTTCTTTCTACAAGTCTAGGGGAGATGTCTGCTTCTAAGCCAGAAAGCTAATTAACCTGCTTTTCTCACCTGCCAGGGACTTTGTTTCTGTTCTCATCCTGTTCTACTTGTCCCTCCTCTCAGACTCTCCCCAGCTCCCAGATTCCCCTCGTCCCGTGGAGGTTGCTGCTTGAATATGTTGGCTATAGGGGACTCTGAGCAAGTTACTTAACTGTGTCCTCGTCCCAAAAAGGAGGTTCAGGTGTATGTTCTAAGACTCTTGACCACTTTCCCCCCAGAGAGATCGGAACCATCATCAGGTCCCTGGGATGCTGCCCGAACGAAGGGGAGCTGCATGATCTGATTGCAGAGGTAAGTGGCCGAGCAAGGGTAGTCAGCAGACTCTGTGACTCTGGTCCTTATAATTGAAAACCTTTTACCCGAAAGTAAAAATGCCCTGAGCTGCTAAATGTGCTCAATGAAAACATGAGGGCAGCTATGTGAATTATCCAAGCAGCAGGGTCTGAAAGAATTAATATCAGGTCTTGAGAAAATGGCTGTAACTAAGTAACGCAATGAGAGCCCACATTAGGTGGTATCTTCTCTAAAATTAGTTGAAGAAAGGCTGGTAGCCACAGGGACTGACTATATACAGAAAGGGTATTGACAGATGACAGGAGCATCTATACATATATATCAAAAGCCAGTGACCTTAATGGCCATAACAACCGTAATGATGGGTCGCTATGATGCCCACTGTGGCCAGCCAACAAGCCCGATTGGGGTGGGGCCAGCTGGCCAACCTCATGGCCCCGCCCCCCTGCCAGCCTGCCCCTGATCAGACTCTCCCACCCCGATCAAGAGCCAAGAGCTGGCCGTGGCCAAATGCCCCCTCCCTTCTCCCTGGCCAGCCCTGTTCCCAATCAGCCCGCCCCATCACAAGAGGCCTGTAGCCCCTCCCATCGGCCTGCCTGCCCCTGATTGCACTCCCCCACCCCAATAGGGGGCGGGACTGGCCAGCCCCTCCCCTTGGCTGGCCATGCCCCTGATCCAGAAAATAACAACTCAGTACTTTACAAATGTCCATTACTATGTTCATTATTATTATCAGTACTATTTCTAATATTATTAAGAACCATCCCAAATGCAGCCCCTCCCCCTGCTGGCCGCACCCCTGACTGCCCACCCACCCCAATAGGGGGCAAGCCCACCAACCTCCTGCAGCCCCTCCCCATGGCCGGTCCTGCCCCCAGTTGGCCCCCCAACCCCAGTCAGGGGTGGGGCCCGCCAGCCAATTGCCCATGGCCCCTTACCCCAGCCGGCCCAGCCCCGATCTGCCCCTATTGGGGCCAGGCCAGCCGGACGCCACCCTTGCACAAATTCATGCACTGGGCCTCTAGTTCTAAATAAAATCAGTTCAAAGGGGATAGATAGAAGCAGAAGTAGAGATTGTAAGGAATTTATATTTATTTGGAAATGTTGATGAAAGGGGCCACATGCTAACCTGACAAGCTCAGGAAAGGCCTACATGGCAGTCTTGCAAATCTAGAGACCTAAAGTAATCCAAAGGATGGCCTGAAATTAAACTTTAACTAAAAGCAGTTATGGTGGGTAGTTACGTCCTAGGCCTGTATCCTCACTGACAAGGTCAACCTTTACCTATCTGTCTTTTTGCATCTATAATAACATATCCTTGAAATGTCTGGGTAACTTGTAACTTCCCTTTTTCTGGACCCCTTGGGGCACAACCTAATGTGCCTGGGTGCCAGACAGATACCACAAATTCCTTTATTCCCTCATGTTAATTGTTGACTGTTGGCTATCCTACACCATCTAAGTTTGTGTCTATCATGTTACTTTTTATCCAATCCTAGAGGTTCACCTCTCCTCCCTCCCCCTCTCCCCCCCGCTTGGCTTTCTCCAGCTTCTCTAGTCTATCACCAGTGGATTTCATGTAACCCCCCTATGTCCCTCCTTTGATTGTAATGTATAAAATAGATGAAAACCTGCCATTCTCCAGAGCGCTATCCCAATCCATTGAGATACTGCTTCCCGGCAATTGTTGACAGTTTGGCTCAAATTCACAAAAATTTTTTACAGGTTTGAATGTTTCTTACATTAACATTAAAAAGGACAATATTGCCCACCTTCAAGGGTAAGTCTATCATATTTCCTTATTTGCAAGTTATATATTTTTAAAGTTTATTTTTAATCCTTATCCGAGGGTATTTTTC